ATGCCTATGTCCTGAATGGTACTACCTAGGTTTTCCTCTAGGATTTTTATGGTATTAGGTCTAACATTTAAGTCTCTAATCCATCTTGAATTAATTTTCGTATAAGGAGTAAGGAAAGGATCCAGTTTCAGCTTTCTACTTATGGCTAGCCAATTTTCCCAGCACCATTTATTAAATAGGGAATCCTTTCCCCATTTCTTGTTTCTCTCAGGTTTGTCAAAGATCAGATGGCTGTAGATGTGTGGTATTATTTCTGAGGACTCTGTTCTGTTCCATTGGTCTATATCTCTGTTTTGGTACCAGTACCATGCTGTTTTGGTTACTGTAGCCTTGTAGTATAGTTTGAAGTCAGGTAGCGTGATGCCTCCAGCTTTGTTCTTTTGACTTAGGATTGTCTTGGAGATGCGGGCTCTTTTTTGGTTCCATATGAACTTTAAAGCAGTTTTTTCCAATTCTGTGAAGAAACTCATTGGTAGCTTGATGGGGATGGCATTGAATCTATAAATTACCTTGGGCAGTATGGCCATTTTCACGATATTGATTCTTCCTATCCATGAGCATGGTATGTTCTTCCATTTGTTTGTGTCCTCTTTGATTTCACTGAGCAGTGGTTTGTAGTTCTCCTTGAAGAGGTCCTTTACATCCCTTGTAAGTTGGATTCCTAGGTATTTTATTCTCTTTGAAGCAATTGTGAATGGAAGTTCATTCCTGATTTGGCTCTCTGTTTGACTGTTACTGGTATATAAGAATGCTTGTGATTTTTGCACATTAATTTTGTATCCTGAGACTTTGCTGAAGTTGCTTATCAGCTTAAGGAGATTTTGGGCTGAGACAATGGGGTTTTCTAAATATACAATCATGTCATCTGCAAACAGGGACAATTTGACTTCTTCTTTTCCTAACTGAATCCCCTTGATTTCTTTCTCTTGCCTGATTGCCCTAGCCAGAACTTCCAACACTATGTTGAATAGGAGTGGTGAGAGAGGGCATCCCTGTCTTGTGCCAGTTTTCAAAGGGAATTTTTCCAGTTTTTGCCCATTCAGTATGATATTGGCTGTGGGTTTGTCATAAATAGCTCTTATTATTTTGAGGTACGTTCCATCAATACCGAATTTATTGAGCGTTTTTAGCATGAAGGGCTGTTGAATTTTGTCAAAAGCCTTTTCTGCATCTATTGAGATAATCATGTGGTTCTTGTCTTTGGTTCTGTTTATATGCTGGATTATGTTTATTGATTTGCGAATGTTGAACCAGCCTTGCATCCCAGGGATGAAGCCCACTTGATCATGGTGGATAAGCTTTTTGATGTGTTGCTGAATCCGGTTTGCCAGTATTTTATTGAGGATTTTTGCATCAATGTTCATCAGGGATATTGGTCTAAAATTCTCTTTTTTTGTTGTGTCTCTGCCAGGCTTTGGTATCAGGATGATGTTGGCCTCATAAAATGAGTTAGGGAGGATTCCCTCTTTTTCTATTGATTGGAATAGTTTCAGAAGGAATGGTACCAGCTCCTCCTTGTATCTCTGGTAGAATTCAGCTGTGAATCCATCTGGTCCTGGACTTTTTTTGGTTGGTAGGCTATTAATTATTGCCTCAATTTCAGAGTCTGCTATTGGTCTATTCAGGGATTCAACTTCTTCCTGGTTTAGTCTTGGAAGAGTGTAAGTGTCCAGGAAATTATCCATTTCTTCTAGATTTTCCAGTTTATTTGCATAGAGGTGTTTATAGTATTCTCTGATGGTAGTTTGGATTTCTGTGGGGTCGGTGGTGATATCCCCTTTATCATTTTTAATTGCGTCGATTTGATTCTTCTCTCTTTTCTTCTTTATTAGTCTTGCTAGTGGTCTGTCAATTTTGTTGATCTTTTCAAAAAACCAACTCCTGGATTCATTGATTTTTTGGAGGGTTTTTTGTGTCTCTATCTCCTTCAGTTCTGCTCTGATCTTAGTTATTTCTTGCCTTCTGCTAGCTTTCGAATGTGTTTGCTCTTGCTTCTCTAGTTCTTTTAATTGCGATGTTAGAGTGTCAATTTTAGATCTTTCCTGCTTTCTCTTGTGGGCATTTAGTGCTATAAATTTCCCTCTACACACTGCTTTAAATGTGTCCCAGAGATTCTGGTATGTTGTATCTTTGTTCTCATTGGTTTCAAAGAACATCTTTATTTCTGCCTTCATTTCGTTATGTACCCAGTAGTCATTCAGGAGCAGGTTGTTCAGTTTCCATGTAGTTGAGCGGTTTTGATTGAGTTTCTTAGTCCTGAGTTCTAGTTTGATTGCACTGTGGTCTGAGAGACAGTTTGTTATAATTTCTGTTCTTGTACATTTGCTGAGGAGTGCTTTACTTCCAATTACATGGTCAATTTTGGAGTAAGTACGATGTGGTGCTGAGAAGAATGTATATTCTGTTGATTTGGGGTGGAGAGTTCTATAGATGTCTATTAGGTCTGCTTGCTGCAGAGATGAGTTCAATTCCTGGATATCCTTGTTAACTTTCTGTCTCGTTGATCTGTCTAATGTTGACAGTGGAGTGTTGAAGTCTCCCATTATTATTGTATGGGAGTCTAAGTCTCTTTGTAAGTCTCTAAGGACTTGCTTTATGAATCTGGGTGCTCCTGTATTGGGTGCATATATATTTAGGATAGTTAGCTCTTCCTGTTGAATTGATCCCTTTACCATTATGTAATGGCCTTCTTTGTCTCTTTTGATCTTTGATGGTTTAAAGTCTGTTTTATCAGAGACTAGTATTGCAACCCCCGCTTTTTTGTGTTCTCCATTTGCTTGGTAAATCTTCCTCCATCCCTTTATTTTGAGCCTATGTATGTCTCTGCGTGTGAGATGGGTCTCCTGAATACAGCAGACTGATGGGTCTTGACTCTTTATCCAGTTTGCCAGTCTGTGTCTTTTAATTGGAGCATTTAGTCCATTTACATTTAAGGTTAAGATTGTTATGTGTGAACTTGATCCTGCCATTATGATATTAACTGGTTATTTTGCTCGTTAGTTGATGCAGTTTCTTCCTAGCCTTGATGGTCTTTACATTTTGGCATGTTTTTGCAATGGCTGGTACCGGTTGTTCCTTTCCATGTTTAGTGCTTCCTTCAGGGTCTCTTGTAAGGCAGGCATAGTGGTGACAAAATCTCTAAGCATTTGCTTATCTGTAAAGGATTTTATTTCTCCTTCACTTATGAAACTTAGTTTGGCTGGATATAAAATTCTGGGTTTAAAATTCTTTTCTTTAAGAATGTTGAATATTGGCCCCCACTCTCTTCTGGCTTGAAGAGTTTCTGCCGAGAGATCTGCTGTTAGTCTGATGGGCTTCCCTTTGTGGGTAACCCGACCTTTCTCTCTGGCTGCCCTTAAGATTTTTTCCTTCATTTCAACTTTGGTGAATCTGGCAATTATGTGTCTTGGAGTTGCTCTTCTCGAGGAGTATCTTTGTGGCGTTCTCTGTGTTTCCTGGATTTGAATGTTGGCCTGCCCTACTAGGTTGGGGAAGTTCTCCTGGATGATATCCTGAAGAGTGTTTTCCAACTTGGTTCCATTTTCCCCCTCACTTTCAGGCACCCCAATCAGACGTAGATTTGGTCTTTTTACATAATCCCATACTTCTTGCAGGCTTTGTTCATTTCTTTTTCTTCTTTTTTCTTTTGGTTTCTCTTCTCGCTTCATTTCATTCATTTGATCCTCCATCGCTGACATTCTTTCTTCCAGTTGATCGAGTCGGTTACTGAAGCTTGTGCATTTGTCATGTATTTCTCGTGTCATGTTTTTCGTCTCTTTCATTTCGTTTATGAGCTTCTCGCATTAATTACTCTAGCCATCAATTCTTCCACTTTTTTTTCAAGATTTTTAGTTTCTTTGCGCTGGGTACGTAATTCCTCCTTTAGCTCTGAGAAATTTGATGGTCTGAAGCCTTCTTCTCTCATCTCGTCGAAGTCATTCTCCGTCCAGCTTTGATCCGTTGCTGGCGATGAGCTGCGCTCCTTTGCCGGGGGAGATGCGCTCTTATTTTTTGAATTTCCAGCTTTTCTGCCCTGCTTTTTCCCCATCTTTGTGGTTTTATCTGCCTCTGGTCTTTGATGATGGTGATGTACTGATGGGGTTTTGGTGTAGGTGTCCTTCCTGTTTGATAGTTTTCCTTCTAACAGTCAGGACCCTCAGCTGTAGGTCTGTTGGAGATTGCTTGAGGTCCACGCCAGACCCTGTTTGCCTGGGTATCAGCAGCAGAGGCTGCAGAAGATAGAATATTTCTGAACAGCGAGCGTACCTGTCTGATTCTTGCTTTGGAAGCTTCCTCTCAGGGGTGTACTCCCCCCTGTGAGGTATGGGGTGTCAGGCTGCCCCTAGTGGGGGATGTCTCCCAGTTAGGCTACTCAGGGGTCAGGGACCCACTTGAGCGGGGAGTCTGTCCCTTCTCAGTTCTCAACCTCCGTGTTGGGAGATCCACTGCTCTCTTCAAAGCTGTCAGACAGAGTCATTTGTGTCTGCAGAGCTGCTGCGTTTGTTATTGTTTACTGTGCCCTGTCCCCAGAGGTGGAGTCTACAGAGACAGGCAGGTTTCCTTGAGCTGCTGTGAGCTCCACCCAGTTCGAGCTTCCCAGCAGCTTTGTTTACCTACTTAAGCCTCAGCAATGGCGGGCGCCCCTCCCCCAGCCTCGCTGCTGCCTTGCCGGTAGATCACAGACTGCTGTGCTAGCAATGAGGGAGGCTCCGTGGGTGTGGGACCCTCCCGGCCAGGTGTGGGATATGATCTCCTGGTGTGCCTGTTTGCTTAAAGCGCAATACTGGGGTGGGAGTTACCCGATTTTCCAGGTGTTATGTGTCTCAGTTCCCCTGGCTAGGAAAAGGGATTCCCTTCCCCCTTGTGCTTTCCAGGTGAGGCAATGCCTCGCCCTGCTTCAGCTCTCGCTGGTCGGGCTGCAGCAGCTGACCAGCACCGATCATCTGGCACTCCCCAGTGAGATGAACCCAGTACCTCAGTTGAAAATGCAGAAATCACCGGTCTTCTGTGTCGCTCGCGCTGGGAGTTGGAGACTGGAGCTGTTCCTATTCGGCCATCTTGCTCCGCCCCAGGACTTAAGTTCTGATAGTGTATATTGACATTATGAGTTCTAGCAATAGCATTTTCTCTAACAGTTAAAAGTGGTAGCCTTTGCTAAAAGTTACAGGTTGTCCTCTCTTCCTTCCCCTTTGTTTATCTTTCTCGATGTCCTCCCAGGTACACCCCTTTCTCCCAGCACCATAACCAATCACATTTCTTTAAGTTTCAAGTAAGGTACTCAAGTGCAGGGGCACATTATCTTCTTAAAAGGGAGAACCAACAAATGGAAACTTTTGTACCAACTTAAATCTATTTGTCCTTCTTGTGGACCTGTGACATTCACCTGTCAGTCTGCTCTTAAAAGCCTCTATCGAATGCAAGGTGCTTCTGAGATTTTTGATACAGGGATGCAGCTTAGAATTGTAAGTGGCCTCCTTGATATTCTGCATCACTAGGTAAGGCTTACACAGCAAATACCTATGCCCATCAAAAAATAGTCTAAGATAAAAGTGCAGGCAAGCAGATCAGAGGATATAAAAGGCCCATTGTGAAAACAATAGGAAGGTTAGTATAGGCCAAGTTAGGTCTCCCACCAACCTCTCTGCTTTATGAGGCTATCATGCAGCTCATCCCAGTCCCACTGGAGTCTTTTCTTCTTTTAAGTCTATGTAACAATTTCTAACTTAGAACTGTAAAGGTATTTAGAATACATGTCAGGGCCAGAATTTGCAGAGGTCAAGAAGTGTCTTTATGATTAAGTGAATGATCCCAGCAAGGTCAGTATTAGTTTCCTCAAGACTTCTTATCAGACTAGTGGGCCAACCACGCTTCCTATTCCTCCCAAAGAAAAGTCAGACAGGAGCTCAGAAGTAGTGCTTGACCTCAATACTAGTTTTCAGAATCTCATGACAAATTTTATATGTTATATGTTCATGATTGCAAAGAGAAGATAATGATTTTTTTCTGATAATAATGCAGCATATTCCTTTCAGATCAATGTTAGCACATCTCTTGTCAATCAAGTTTATATTCCACCTCAACCAATTCCTTTCATAGGCATTAGCTGATTTGAATGGGGTGATGTATTTTAAAATGATGAGGAAGAAGCATTTTTTTTTGTTTTGACTTTACTTGAGAACTGGTGACTGATTTTTAACACACACACACATACACACACACACACACACAAAATCTCTGGTGATGAAAATAACCATTAAATATAACTAACGCAACACTATGCCATTTATTTGATGAACTGACTCACTGCTATCTCACTTTTTGCTTAGTATAGTTTTGTGTACTTTGCTTAAAACATTTGAGGCCACAGAAAGCTTGGACTTGAAATCAAGTCTTCAGGGCTATTTCACATTCTTTTAAGAGTGTTTCTTCAGCTGCCGGGGAAAGATGTGTGCATGAATTCTCTTATCCATGTCAAGGCCGGTTACAGCTGCATAAAATCAATTCAGCTGTGGTAGACTGATAAGTGCACATTTCAAGATGACACAACGTGATCAAACCAGGTGAGAACTAAAAGAGCTTTGGGACCATATTAAATGCCATTGCCTGATGGGGAAGAGGAGAGGAAGGAAATGTACAGGCCAGTTGTTGCTGGGATGATATAGTTTTGTAAGCCCTCTATGATCCGTGTTAACCCCGTGTTGTTATGTATATTTTCAAAATGTATACACGATAGTTTGCAAGAAATGGTCACCCAGTGACAGAGGACCTGGCTCCTTCTGGTCACTTGTCCCCTTTCACTGTTTTGAGGACTTCTCTGGGGGGTTCTAATTCAAAGGAAACTTTTACTTTGAAAGCTTTAAAAGTCCTTTTACTCTACAGATGTTATGTGGAAAGGCTTCTTACTCTAGGCTCCATTGCTCTTAAACCTCTTCGTCTTGCTGGCAAAATTTTTATGAATCAGAGATTACTTTTAGGTCTGGGGTTTATATTAGAAATTATTCACCGTCATTCAACAAATATGCACTAAGCACCCACTAGATACCAGGGATACATGGGCAAACTTCCTGTTTCCGAAAATGCTGCCAAGTCTCAGTTCCTGAGCATTTGGCCCCTTTTACTTTGGGCCCTAGGTAGAACCACAGACACAGGTAGTACTGATGGACATCTTCTTGTCATGGCTGAAGTTTTCCAGGAAATGGTTCTTTGAGGAGCTACCTTGGCTGAGGCTGTCTTGGTTGAATCTCTAGGCACAAGAGCATAAGACAAGGCTTCCCATTGAGTAATATAGCCTAAGGGAAAGAAATGAGAGAAACTTCAAAATCAACAATTTTACAAAGCAAATAAGAAAACAAAACTGCAAACATTTACTTATGTGTACACAATTTTTTCTACTCTTGTGGTGAGCATGCCCAGATTATATGATCTTTGAAGACTGGAAGTGTATTTTTCTTCTTTTGCATTTCTCATTCAATAAGTTAATAAACACTTAGTCATTGATTAACATGTCAAATTATTTGGAAAGGGACTTGAGCCATGATATCTTCGATAACAAAACTTTCTTCAAACCAGAAAGGTATGTTTGATCTCTCTCAGTGTTTCTCAACATGTAGTCTGCAGAACACCAACTGGTGAATCACTGGGCTGAGGCCACATGCTTTTTCAAAATGCTAATTAAAAATGCAGATTTATGACTCTAAAGACCTTCTGAATCAGGAACTCTGAGGGTTAAGCTTGGAAATCTGCATTTTGATAAGGTACCTGGTGGATTTTATATGCACTAAGCATTGAATACTTCCGCTTCTGGATTCATTAGCTTCTATGCAATTTTGCTATAAAAACAAAGCTACTAGATGATGCTTCTAGTGACACTTCAGGCAATCATGTGGACCAGACTGAATCCCGGCTTCTCTGTTTACTATTCAATAGTTGCATGACCCTGGTCAAGCTATTTAACTTGTCCATGTTTTAGTTTTCTCTTCTGTAAACTGTAGGTCATAAAGACACCTGCCACGTAGAGGTGTTTGAATGTTAAATACAATACCTGCAAAGTTCTTAGACGAGCACCTGACACATAGGAAGCCCTCAATAAAAGGTACCTATTGTTATTGTTTTTATTAAATCAATTGCACAAACCACACTTTCCGTTTGTGTAAATACAAAAACAACAGTATAAAGTAGATGTGCTAAAGCCAGGTGAGTAGGTTTTTGTTTAAAAAGCACTCTAGTGGAGTTAGGAGAACAGTATGATGAAGGGCAGCCAGCAACTGAAAGCATTTCCTGCCAAGAAAAGGGACTTTACAACAATTATGCCTTTCGGTAAGTTGATGCTTACAATTTGTGAAGGTCTTTCACAACCATTATTTCATTTGTGCTTCATAAAATCTAAAGAGGTTGAAAGAAGAGGAGAGACAGCAGAGGATGGGGCTGAAAATGTATAAACTTCAGAGGTGACAGCTCTGGCTTGAAGTCCTAACTAACATTTATTACCTGTGTGTGATCTTGATCAAGTTACATAACCTGCCTGAGCTTCCATTTTCTATGCCATAAATTGGAGATAAAATGAGATATCGTATGTAAAGCTCTTGGCACAATGTCTGGAACGTGGTCAATGAACAATAAATGTAACTATTATTGTCGTGAGTAAACCAAGCTTCTGAGTTTGCACACAGCAAGGAGCTGAGCTGTGCTTTGAGCCTCGCCTGGTTTTGTAAGCCCAGACCCACTGATTTACTTAAGTTCCCACAAATCTCAGAGAGTTGACATTTTATCACAATCCATACTTGAATTTCTTTAAACCCTATTAATTTACCCATAAAACCTTGCTTTCCATTGTCAAGAATAAGCACTTTGAAACTTGGTTAACCAACTACTATGTTGATAAAATAGCATGCCAGTAGATGCCATTGTACTTGAATTATTTATCTGGAAACGACTTCTGGCTACAGCACAAGTTGATTCCTTAGGTGCTTAGTTTGGATCACGTAGTTAAACTTACCAAGCAGCTGTTGGTGCTGAAGGCTGTGAATGTAGCGGGGCTGCAGGGCCTCCCACTGGGGCCTGGAGTTGTAAATCCTCATAATGCTGTAAAAGTAGCGCTGTTGCCCTTGGTTGAGGTCCTGTCGGAACAGAACAGGTGATTTTGATGAGTCTGTGGAGTTCCACAGCATTCAAATTGTGATGTATTCAAAGCTAACTTTTATGGAAATAAGAGGCTTCTCTTGCTAAACATATATATATTTTTAATGTGCAACAATTGGAAAATAACAATTGGGGAGTTTCCTTTCTTCATTTGCTTAAACAGCCTTCTGCTAATCTGTATGATGATGAAAATATGTGAGTAAAAAATTCTAGGTAATTGTCTTGAACTGAGGGACATCTAAGGATTTACAGGATCTTATAATTTCATTGATCCTTATTGAGGAAAGTAGGTTGTAATAAGCTACACAGAGCTGAAGTATGCTAGGCCTCTGGACTGGTAGAAAATTTCCCACTGAAAGTTCTCAAAAGCAAGGGAAATAGATGGATGAATAATGTGGTAAGGGTTCATTATATCATTAGTAAAAAGGTGCCATGCATGAAAACAAAGAATGTAAACAAGCTCCCTAAACAGTCAAGGAAGGTTTCCTAAATGAGATGATCATCTTATCTGAGTCTTAGATGAGGAATTTCCTTAAGGGACTAGAATACTGGTTCTCAAATGGCATGCACAACACCTGGAAACCTGTTAGAAATTCTAACTTTTTTTTTTTTTTTAGTTCAAAGGGAACATAGAGTCTGATTGTGAAAAGACTTAGGGGAAGATGATGGAAACCTTTTAGCTATGTTAAGAGTTTAAGGATTAACTATCCTATGAGGAGCCATCGAAGGTCTTTAAGGCAGTGACTCTCAACAGGAATGATTTTGACTCCCAGGGGACATTTGGCAATGCCTGCGAAATGTTTTGATTGTCCTAATTGGTGGGAGGAGGAGGGAGTGCTCCTTACATTCAGTGAGTAGAGGCCTGGGATTTGCTCAGCATCCTGCAAAGCACAGGACAGCTTCCCATGCCTTTCCAACAAATGATCCAACCCAAAACACCATACTCTCAACTGACCAGATTTGCATTTTAAAAAATGGCTCTGCAGTGGAGAATGGCTCAAGGAAAGAGATCATTGGTAGACAGACCATTTAAAAGGCTACTTTCTTAAAGGTAGAAAGAAATAAGAAGGGTCAAGACTTCAATTACTATTACATACCTAAGATATCTTAAGTGTTCATTATATACTGTGCTCAGCATTTTGCATTCGTATTTGCAGGTATTTTGCATGCATAATCTCTTAATTTTCAACAATCCGAGGAGATGAACAATTTATTCTGTTCACTTTACAGATAGGGAAACAGATAGTGGCATCAACATTCTAGAAAAATCAAGATAAAATAAGTTCACCCTGGGCCAAAAAATTCAAAACAATAATAGAGTTTTCAAAATGAGTTGGTAACTATGCAATAGAAACTAAACTTAAGATAATTATATGTAAAGGTAGAGTAAGGTGACTTTTACCTGTTAGACATTTTCTGTGGGCCTGAAATTTGTGAGTTAGCGTTTTGTTTTTATTTTTTTGGCCATAAACTTAATATCGACAATCTATCTGGAGTGAAAGTAGCAAAGCCAAGTGCTTCATAATTTGAGATACTATTTCAGCTTTAGTTTCTGAAGTAGATATTTTAAAGGATAATATATTTGAAGAGAATGAATTCCACTCCTGAATAACTAATTTTGCCTTATAAAATGATTGAGAACAAGATAATATGAAAATTGGAAGCCAATTTCAAGAGCAGAACTCCAAAGTGCAATGGGAGTTTCCATAGAAGATAAAAATCTTAAAAGTGATGATTTTATTTTACAAAGCCAAAAAATGCCTACTTCTTTTCCTTAGTAAAACCCTAAACTTCCTAAATGAGAAGTAGCAGGTAACATTACTAATATTCTTACCCTGTTGTTGATCCTTCCTTGAGGGTTTAGGAGAGAACTGAAATTTTTACAGCCTATTTATTAGAATGGCTTTAACTAACTTTGACTAAAAGGAGCTCTTCAAAAGGCAGCCACAGTGTGGCCAATTAGTAAGTTTCCCATTGCTGACAGTGGGTCAGCCATGAAGAGGTGACCGTCTACCAGAGCTCCTGAAATGGGGCGGGTGTAGGAGGTTACCCAAGTGCTCATTAATTCACTCATGCATGGCCTTCAACATTCAGCAAGGGCTTATTTTAGGACAAATATTCTTCCTAATGCTAGGTAAACAAAGACAGCAGAAAAAGTCCTCAGACCTTGAAGGACAGACAGGTCACTCTATCTGTGAAAGAAAGAAAAGAAAAGAAAAGAAAAAGGAAGGAAGGAAGGAAGGAAGGAAGGGAGGGAGGGAGGGAGGGAGGGAGGGAGGGAGGGAGGGAGGGAGGGAAAGAAAGAAAGAAAGAAAGAGAGAGAGAGAGAGAGAGAGGGAGACAGGCCATACCTTTAGTAAGGAAGTATCATAGATGGAGAAACTCGAATGAAAAGAAGCTGTGGAACATTCCAGAGCTTTTGTTGTCTTTTCCAGTTTTGTCCCATCGTTTATCCTGTACCTCCAAGAAACAACAAAGTATAGCATAAAATTTCTTTTAGCTCAACCGGTTTTGGGGATGTACTTAAGTAAACAAGTAAGCAAGTGAATGAATTTTTAAAAATGTAATTTGTTCTAAGGGATAGGAACATTTGCTCACATTTCCAAGTAATTGAACATCACCACACTACTTAATTCCACACCTTTTCTTAGTCTTGCCCTTTATTTATGAAAATAATTATTAATTATTTATGAAGTTAAGGAATAATTCAGAGCCCTTGTCTTTCTGTTTAACTGTTTGGAACAGCTGGGTTGTAGAGCATACTATTTTTATAATAGTAATTTTTTGATAATTTTAAATACTATCGATTATCATATCTGATTCTAAAAGTAATATATATTATTTTGGAAGATTTGGAAGAATTTAAAAATTGAAGGAGAAAATAAGATTACTCATACAAGTTGAGCATCCCAAATCTAAAAGTCCAACATCTGAAATACTCCAAATCCAAAACTTTTAGTGCCCACATGATGCTCAAAGGAAATGCTCATTGGAGCATATTGGATTTTGGATTTTTGGATTTGGGAGGCTCAACTAGCAAAGATAATGCAAATTTTCCAGAATCAAAAAAAAAAAAAAAAAAAAAAAATCTGGAATTCAAAACACTTCTGGTCCCAAGCATTTTGGATAAGGCATACTCAACTTGTATCTAATTATCTATAATTATTGTTCGTATTTGGTCGATTTCCTTTTACTTATTTATTTATATATATTTTGTGAGACAGAGTCTCACTTTATCACCCAGGCTGGAGCACAGTGGTGTGATTATAGCTCACTGCAGTCTTGAACTCCTGGGCTCAAGCTATCCTCCCACCTCAGCCTCCTAAGTAGCTGGGACTACAGGTACACACCCCACACCCAGTTATTTTTTAAATTGTTAGTAGAGATAATGTTTCCCAGACAATGTTCTCCCTATATTCCCCAGGCTGGTCTCAAACTCCTGGGCTCAAGTTATCCTCCACCTCAGGCTCCCAAAGTGCTGGGATTACAGGTATGAGGCACCACGTTGAGTTTCACTTTCCTCTTATTTATTTATTTTTTCTGTGTACATTGTGTGTAATTTTAGAAAAGGGAGATCATAATTTGTATGTTTTGTGCACTTTCTCAGATCATTAAGTATTCCTTAAAAATATAATTTTTAATGGTAGTATAGTATGCCTTTACATCATTCTCCACTTCTTGCAAATTTAGATGTGCAATTTTATAGCATTGTACTATAAAATAAACTATTAAACTTGTCATGTTTCCACTTGCCTGACAAAGACACAGAATAAAGGAGTCACATTTGCTATGATTAAGTCTCCTTTCCTGGTGATTTAGGGTTTAGAGTCTGAAGGGTGTATAATAATATGAATTTAACAATCCAGCAAGAGTAGACATTTTGGAATCAGTTGCCAAGTCACAGAGTGCAAACCCAGAGTATTTTCCCCTCTGCTTACTCCTTTGTCTTTGTTAGCAGTGTGAATTACTGAATGATAGAAAGTAAGACCACAGCAAATCAAGCATAGTAACAATCTGCTAAACATAGATTATTATCAATCCCTGCACCATGTACTAACTGAAGAAAATAAACTATAATAGAGGCTGTATGGCCTTTAGAACTAGAAAGACTTGAATTTCTTTCCTTCTGTAAGCCTCAGCCCTCTCATCCTTATGACAGCAGTTACAATGCCTACCTTATTGGGTGTTTGATTCACTGAAATCGTGAATATAGAATGCTCTCACTTTATGCCAGTTTCTTCTCTCTCTACCCAACCTTCATGCATGTTCAGACACACAAACACATACGCACACATAGGTTCACAAACATACACATGCTTAAGGAGTATTGTAATACGTGTGGAGACTCATTTGAGTTCATATATCGAAGGTTCCATTCTTCCAGAAGAGAAATTTATTAGGAAAACATTAGTCAACATCTCTGTGTGTACTGTTTCTGCTATATAAACGTATAAATTAAACTATAAATATTTTAAATGTGTGCACTCCGGAAACCATACCAACCAAGATATACTCTTTTAATATTCTCTGTGATTGACGCTTATGCTCTATCCTGTACTCAAATCATTTCAATAACCCTCCTCCCATTTTCCAGATCTGTAGAACAGAGAATAAATATGCTTCAAGCTGAAAAGATTTCTTGTCTCCTCAAATAGCATAAGGAAATGACTGATGCTCTTTCTTATGGCAACAATTCATGTATGCTTTTCTGGAGCTACTGCTGAATAAACTTACCTATTCAAGTGGCCTATACCTGACACAATTTGATTAAAATACTCATGGAATTCAGAGAGAAAAACATCTTCAAAATAATATATCTGAAACAAAAACACAGATTTTCCTAAAAAGAACTTACCCTATACTGTAGTTCCCCCACTTTTAAAAGCTGGCATTCATATTCAGTGTAGTTTTCTTATGCGGACTCTGTTCATATGGTGGTGGTGATGGAAATCTGTTGATAAGCTGATATCCAAGTAACATCGTGTGATGAAACAGAGAGCTGGGGAAATCTGGCTTCATGCCTTTCTTCACTTCTGGGTAACATTCAGCTACACAGTTTGATATTTTTTCTCCAAATTTTGTGTCTAATCAAGTATCATCTTCTAAATTTACCATATCTGCGTTCTATGCAGATAGGGGGGAGTAACACGCATACACTCTGAGATCCTAAATATTAAAGGTCAAGAAATCCATCAGGGCAATGGGCCATGACATAAACATTTCCAAAATTTGGAGTCAGTAGTCCCTTTCCCCATTGCTCAGGATGATGAAGGAAGAATTCCTGAATATAGAGGCATGGGCATGATTTTGACTGTGGTAACATATGAAATTATTCCATAGTTTAAGCTAAGTTCCTTTTCATTTTGTGGGGGAGTAAGATATTCTCCATATGTTATCTTAATTAGAGGCTACATATGATGATAATGAACCTGTGGCATAAGACTAGAGTCCACACTGACCTCATCCTTTCTTCTGTGACTGCATTATTCTACTGGCTTCCTTTATTTCTCAAGTGTCCTCCTTCTGAATGCCAGCTTATCTGCAAAGATGAAGAGTTCCTAGAGGAAAGGGAAGAAGAAATATCAAAAGAAAACACATTCAAAATTCTTAGGAGACTAAGGGGAAGAAAAAAGCAGGGAGATGAGAGTGATGAATCATATGCCTTAAAGAAGAAAGGGCTCAACAGATGCAAAAGTCTTGCATTTTTTCCCCAATAATTTGAATGCAGACCTCCTGGGAAATAAGCACAGCACAAACAAGTGTCTGTAAATGCCAGTGAATAACATAAAATCTTTCACTGGATCTGAGAGGTTGATGATTCTTTACCAAGAGATAAAGAACAGTTGTGTGCAGAGTTGACACTGTCAATCGAGTCTTCCTCAAATGTTTTTCCAGGATATGATGAAATTCATTCTGGGTGCACTGCATCTGCTGATGTTGCACACACATGCTGAAATTCCTACCAGCTTGCATTGGACCCTACTCAATCAGGAGAACAGTAACAGATCTGGGTGTTTGACAGAGGGCATTTAATGTAAGGAATCTGTTATGAAAATATATAAATGGGTTAGAGGAGTAAAACAAGGAGGGTTAGGTTGTCCAAGGATCGGCGATTGCACTAAACTATGATTGCACGTAGAGCTGGAGGACAAAAGGGAAAATTATTTTACCCACAGCCCATGGACACTGTGCCATAGAGGCTGCTTCCTTTGGAGAACTGCTCCCTGAGCAGCACCTCAGGAACCTGCACTCACCAGGCACCCTTGCTTCTATGTTCTTGCCCAAACTGCTCATCCTACTGTTGCTGTCACTACTGTTGCTGTCCATGTGGCTGCTGCTGCTGGCACTGCCATAGGTGCAAGCAGAAAATAATTTTTTAAAATGGCTTCTTCCCTCCAGGCTTCATGTCCTTCCCTCCATTGAATGCCAGCTGGCAAGGGATTTTGGGAAATGTATTTTGCAGTCTTCCTACTACTCTGATAAAAAGAAGGGTATAGAAGAATCAACATGAGGCTGACAGGTGGTGGACACTCTCTAACACAAACACAAATCTAAGAGGTACCTTTGGGACATATGAAGTCAGGCAGGAGACTGAAGGACTTAGACATACCGTCAGTGTTTACCCAACATCACTGAAAGTTGTCATTTTATAAGAAAGGAGGAAATAAGATAAAACTAGCTATGTAGATGGTATCAAATAATGAGATATAAATTTGTAGACATATTTTAAAATTTAAGAATGAAGAAGTAATGTATATCCTAAGTTTGGGACAAAAAATGTTTTCCCAAAGGGTAGTTTAACATTTCAAAAATAATTTAAACTGATTACAAAAAAAGGAATAGAAACACCCATAATCTAATTACTATAGGGAATATGATGTCAACTGTTAGTAGAAAAGATGTACTATTTCACAGTTAAAATATTGGTACAGCAATAAGATTCACTGCTTAAGACATTGGCTATTTAGAAGATGGGTGATAAAGTGTTTTCATGGAATACCAGGGTAAATGTGACCTCATGGGTGATACCAAGTGAGGAAGAGGAACACCTGATTGGAATCCAAGATGAAGTTAAACTCTAATTCAAAGAAACTCACCTGCTAGAGGGAGAGTGTCACTGTACATCATGGAGGTACACACTTTCCCGAAAAACTATGAACCCAGAAGGAAATGCTCTGCTCACATCCTTTTGCCAGGATCCTCTTAGCTGCAGCGATGCCTGTGAGGATGTCTCCGCTAGGCACTGCCAAGCTCCCTTGACCACCCAAGCCCTCAGAGGACCTCCATGCTCCTTAAGGAAGAGAAGGCAGTGTCCCTCTCCCAACTCTACTGCTGTTTATCCCCTGGACTCTACTTAGTCTTCTAGAGTCTTGGTTGAATTTCATTTCCCATTGAGCTATGTAGTCCCTTGAACTTAAACTTTTTTGGTGGGGGAGGGGGAGTTAGTTATTCCTTATTATCTTGTTTTTACTTTGACCTATTCATAGAAAACCCCTACTTTTCTGAGATTCCAAAACAAAAGCTGTCATGTTTTGGAATCTGAGATTCCAAAACAAAAAACCTATTGGAGCCACTGGTCACAAAAACAGGGTTATTTAGAGTCAGTCTTAGTTTGGATTATAAGAACCACTTTTAGCGAGTGAAAACTACTTTGGACACTTAGAAGCAGTGATTATCGGCAAAGGAAAAACTGGATGTGGTCAGATATGTGCTAAGACTTTGGAAAAACAGATTTCAAACAATTCAGGAAAAAAGTCTAAAGTGGACTTGAGAAGGGAATATCCAGAGATTTAGTTTCAACCCTATAATCTCAAATAAAATCCATAGAAGAAAGAGATAAGATATCAAAAGAAACCAGAGTAAGTCCACCGGGAACTCACAGAGAATTCTAGACTCGAGGTCAGGTTATTTTTAAAAATCATAATTTACCAAAAAAGATTTTTCATTAGAGACTAGCAATGGTTCTCTAAAAACAGATCCCGATAAGCACAACTGTTAAGTATGAGAGTCAGTACTCAAATCCATGATTGCCTGAAATCTATGATTTCTTCCCTTGATCTCTGGAATGAAAAGGGAATTCAAGCAGCCCACGCTATGCTATAATAGAACATTATCCCTTTTATTCAGTCATTACTTACAGATGAAATTCATGCCTCACAATTCTTTCTGTCCTTGGGTATGTTCCATTCCCACCTGGAATACTGCTTGGCTGAATAAGGGGAGGCTTCACTTTCACAAAGACGTATGGTC